AGAGCCCCTTTTCCCCTCCGGGTCCAGGCCCCGTAAGGAAAGCAGCCCCAGCTCACCGCAGGCTGGGCCCACCTTCTCCCTTAAAGACAAGAGGAGCACTAGCAGTACCTATCATGTGTTTTAACTCGTTCAACTAATTGGAATGAAGGCTTCCATGAAGTATTAGCTTTTGCCACTCCATTTACAAAGCAGTATCAAGATATTTACACTGGTAACGCTCCAGTTAGAAGTTTAAAGGAAAGGAGCAGACGCTTGAGTTAAAACAAGCCTGGCCCAGGCTCTTCAATGCAGATCCCCTCCATCAAACTACCCGTTTCTTTTAAGGTGCAGAGTTTTATTAGAGGATTATTGAACTCTCAAAAACTGACAGAAAAAACAAATTCTATGTGAACTACTATCCTTTCAGGCTTCAAAATATTAAAAGTACTAGATTTCCCCCCCCTTGCCTCCTTTTGCATTTGGAGTTGACCCCTACAGAGTTTTAAATACCCAAGTCTGGGGGAAAAAAAAAAAAGTAGTAAGTCTTCCACAAGATAACAGCACAGATCATTTGGCTGAGCAAAACTTGTACTTAAGTCCCGAGAAAGAGGAGGGGTCACTGATACCACCACAGTATCTGCCTCTGGATCCAAGCAGCCATGCATGGTCCAAGAATTATGCCTCTGAAGAAAACGATACTCAGATGGCCAGCGAGACGGATGATTATCGTAACACAAAGATCAGATATCAATAGAAATGTTTGATCCAAAGTCCATCTAATCGCAGAGCCCTCCTCGGACAACGACCAGTAGCGGCACTTCCCAAAGACATGGTTTGCACAAGAAGAACTACTATTTCTACTCGAGATAGTTCAGGAGAGCTCCGAGAAGCCACCAGCAGAGCTGGAACAGCTCCCGAGCAGAGGGCACTGCCACACGCAGCAGACAACTAGCAGCCTCCCGCCCGTCAGAATCACTTGTCCTGAGAAGCAACAAGAACAAAAGACCCCCCAGAAAAAAAACTAAGAAACAGCCAAATACAAAAGACCTACTATCTCATTTAAGACAAACTGAGAAGAAGGACTCGTTTGTTATCTTTATTTTCCAACAATACATTTAAACAACTTCTCAGGACTAACCTACTCAGCCAGTTTGGCCATGCAGAGAAAACATTTCCTACGTTATACAGATCGCCTGTGACAACACATAGAATGGGCGGCGGTTGTACTGTAGAATAGAGAAGGGAAATTGTATAGGAGACAACTGGAGTTACGCAAAAGCATGTGGCACAATGGCAGCACTACAGGAGCTTTAGCAGCGGTCACTAACCGGGGCTCCTCGGTGGCACAAAAATGGGGGTGGTGGTTGTACACAAACAGCTTCTAACCATTTCTTTTTAGAAATATTTTATTACCTGCTAAGCATAACTGAACTAGAGAACCCTCCTGTGGCTAAGAAGTGTAGTTGCAAGTCTAATGCTACCTTCAGAACTGCATTTTTTGTATCTTTGCTAATTAAGATGCATGAAAATATGAGTTAGGTATCAAAGCACGCGCTCAGTATTTTGTGAATACATCTTGTGGCCACGCACGACGGGAAGAACTAGCCACAGGACCTCTGAGGGTCAAAGTTCGGAGGAGCACAGCACGCAGTGTTCTTCTATTTGATCAAAAGTACTTCCCTGCAATAAATACAAATTAAAACCAGAAAGCTCAAATGTTCCCCAAGCATCTCAGCTGACCACAGCCCATGCAATTAGTTCCAAGACTGGAAGGAGGTACTTCATTAAAAATCTGACTTAATTTCAACAGTATCTCAAGACATGCAGATGCCAGACCGTATGTGTTTATCAAACTATTACTTAAAAGCCCTCCCCCAAAGCACTTTTGGTGAACGCTTTACCTCTACTGATTCTACAGGTGGGACCTGACTTTGAATTTTCAACAGCAATCGGAGTTTAACAGCACAACTATGCATGTCAGAAAAGGAACCTTAGCGGTTCTTTAAAAGCATTTCCCCTCTTAAAAACCAGATTAAGAAAAATAGTGTAATATATCATTTGAAACTATTACATAGCTTTTTCTACCATCCTTTTGATGCGTAGTATGGATATATTTTTATCTACTTTATGCAAAAAAGAAAAGAAAATATATGCAGCTGCAAATAGCAGCTACATTAGTTTGCTTGCAATTCCCCAGATAGAAAGCCATCCTGCAGCTCTCGGCAGGTAAGTGCACGCTCACTAATAGGAAAAATGAAAGCTCAGCCACTGCGAAGTGGACGTTTCTGGTTCTTCTCCAACTTCATGAAAGCACCCTGCATACATTCTCCCCCAACCAGCGAGCCCTTGGCAACGAAAGGCAAGCCATCCACATTTTTGTATAGGTGGCAGTTTGGGGTTAGTCATTTACAGTCCTTTCTATGACTACTGCACATGGTCATCAACACTTTGACGACCCAGCTTTGGGCTTGAGCCCACAGCATTACTAATCTACTAATTCAACAATTCCACAGTATCAGAGAAGAAAATTGCATAAGCATGTTCAGTATTGAAATCACTGCAAGATTAACTAGGAAAAAAAACCTTCAAAAATCATAAATATCTTTAATTACAAGACTGGTAAGGCAAGTTATGAAAAAACCACAAGATTTTGCTTCAAGATCAGGTGTAAAAGTTGCCTTCAAATATGGAAGTCTCTATGATAAGGAAGCATAAGTACTCAATGGTGAGCTACTAACACTATGAACCTATGCTGTGTTCAATACTAAACTGCTATTTTATACTTTAAAAAACACGTCATTCACCACCTAGAGAACAACAACCTGGGGGCATTTCTCTTCTACCAGAAAGCACACTGCTGTCACAGAGGCTCTGCTAGAATTAAGACACCAATTTTAAGTGAAAACCCCAACAGCTCTGTATCAGCACTGGAAGCACAAATGGAGTGTTTTCAACCATGGGTGACCTCAATACATACAAGCTTCACATGGCACGAGCCAGAAATGCTTAGCTCCCACTTAGGCTCCTGAAAAAAAGCTGGCAGGTTAGCAGTAGCAAGCAGCTCCTAGTCAGGTGTTTAAGTAGGAAGCACTGGATGCTGAGCTTCTCACATTCTGACTTGATGACAGGTTTATTTATGCCCGATAGTAGGAGATTTGCACCAACATGAAGTGTTTCAAAGGTGTTTAAACAGCGAGAATCTTCAGATACATGAGAACTACAGAAAATTAGAGCCCATTGATTTGAGGGGTGAAGCACTTAAAAGAATCCAACAACCTTTTTATGCTTAAAATAGTGAATTAAAACCCAGATAGCATCCCAGCAATGTTATCTCCAAATAAAATCCTGCATTTTGAGAGCCATATAGAATTCCATTTGTTCCATGTAGAATTATTTTCTTTGGAAACAAAGATCTATAGCATCGCCTTCACTTAAAGTGATTTCCACCACAGAAAAGTATTAGCCTGTTGAATACCTTCATGCCAATTGTATAGGAACAAAAACGTAAATTTCTTTCAGTGTAAACAACTTCATATCTAGAATCCTCCAAAACGCCAAGGTCTTCCAAATATCCTTTTGCTTAGGCCTAATAAGTTTGATCTAATGTTATTAGGAGATTTTTTTTGTACCAGAAACTTAAAATCATAAATAGCTGTCATGTATGGATTCCCTACAGTAGTTTCTACTTTTCATCAAAACCACCTTACAAGGACTTGTTAATATGCTCATCCTTTGGGGAAGAACACAATTCTTACTTCATCATTTAATAGACAGCAGCCAGCTACACTGGGCATATGCAAATCATAATGTAGAGAATTTACTTAACTCCACCCCTCTCCCCCACCATACATATGATAAATCTGCACTTTGAGCCAACTTTAAATACAGAATAATGAACCAGTAATTATCTTGTAAGTGAACCAACACTAGTTTGTATTCTTCCCTGAATAACACTTTTTTTTTTTGCAGAAGAGAAAAAAAGGACTGCTACAGAAACACAGCAACATTCAAACCCTTTAAAACAAAAGGTAGATTATTTAATGCATTAATGATGTTAATCTGAAGATAAATAAATCCACAACAGACTTTTAAGTTTCTTTTGAGATTTCCTTTTTCTTTGCAGAGAATATTTCTGATATTATACAGTACTGAGAGGGTGTTCTTTTATTTTCTTAATGTCCAGGTGAAAAGCAAAGCTCAGTTCTCTCTGCTCTCTTCGTGGAACTCCTCAATGCCCCTATTCCAGGCGTGATTCTTTCATAAGCTTTTACTTGAAAGCGGAGTGGTGAGCAACATTAATTTCAGGAATAACTGGATGGTTTGGTCCCTGAGTCATCTTCTTGAGAGCCCATACTCTGGAAGGGAGAGAGTTATTTCTTTTCAAAAACAGGTCTGCAGGTTTACCTTTGAGACAGACAGTTCTTTGAAGTTAACAGGTAGGAAAATAAAGAGCACATGAAATAACATGCACTTCCATTTTGTTTTAAAGCATGATGTTTATGCATGTATTATTAATACATAATTAATAACACTGTAAATATTGACATTCAGTGCAACACATACTCACTGCACTGAATGTCTTGCATACTCTTACAAGACATTAAATCAGTTACCTTCTGCACAAACTGAGGGTTCACAGTGATCTCTTGATCCATGGCTTTCAGTCGTTCATCAAGCTCTATACATTTCAGCATCTTAAAAATATATATTAAGTTGATTAATTTGTCCAGCTTGTACATGATCTTCAAATATTTCATGGTTGTGCTATGTAGAACCAGTAACGCCATCATAGAAGTTCCATGTCAAAATGTTTTCATCCCTCATCTCCCAAACAAAAGTGTCAGACCACTTTTTATTCCCTTATTTTGATCCATGTCTTCCTAACAATCCTTTTCAAGGCCACTGATAGTCCCATGAGGGTCAGCCACCTCAATCTCCAGGCAGGTTATCAACAGCCAGTGGAAGAGATCCGTGAAGCCTAAAACTCTAAAAACAATCTTTCTAATCCATTCAGTTCAAGGAACTTCACATCAGCAACATCAAGCAGCCCGTCTACTGAAACACCTCAAGCTGTACAAATGTTACAACAGGGAATGCACTGACAGTAAATGAATATAAATCTAAAACCTTTAAATACCAGTGAAATAGTCAAATAATGATTCATAGTCCTCAATCGCTAAATGTAAGTTACCTACACTGGCTTCTCCCAGCATCTCTCTGGTTACAGACTAAGGTTCTTTGGTAAGAATTCCGAAAGCAGTTAGGATCTTAAAGATTTACCTCCTGATCAATGTTATGAAGCATAGCTGGATTGTTATATTTTTCAGGATTATCATGGAAACAGACCATACCATCTTTCTGATTAATACTTGCAAAGATTTCACCATCTTCTATCTGAAATGAGAGAAGGTTTCATGTAAGGTATCACTAAGAATAAATGTCAGGTAACTACAACACATAGATTCCTTGTGGAATCATCTTTAACTTGTTTGCTTTTTATTTCCTAACAGCTTCCCAAAGACAAATGGTGCATGCCTTATCTTAGGCAGAGAATATTTTTCAAGATTTTTTTTTTTGAGAACAGTCTAAACACCACAGCAGACTGACAGTATTTCCTTCACCCTGAAAAAGAACCATTCTTCAAGCCATTCAGAACATGACCTGCCAATCCAAACACCTGGAGAGTCTTACGTTGGATCAATTTTTAAATTAGGACAGTTTAGCCAAGTCAGAAGTCTTACCATATGGAGGACGTATTTTTCTGCTTCTTGGGGCCCTGACAACTGCACTCGACTTGCCATGTCTTGTAACGACAATGTTAAAAATGTCTGAAATTTAGAAAGTATCAGACCATTAAAACTAGATGTTAAGAACTTTCCCTATCAATCCTTCATGACCTATGCAATCTTATTTTAAAGTCCAGTGGGAAGAAACAAGTGGAACACATAGTTATTACTTATAAAAGCATCATGAGAGTGGAGTCAGTTCTTCCTCCAAAGACATTAATTTATTATACTGTGCATGTATGCAGACCAAACTGATGGAGTCATTACTCCATTTCTGCACCCCACCCAGTCCTGACCATGTCCAACATTTTCCCTCACCTTTTTACATGAATAAGGTGACTGTCCAACCCTTGAATTTCCTTCAAGAGATGCCTATATTGCATTCCTTCTGAGGTTAGTTCTACTGCAACAAACATCATTAGACCTTGCCAAAAAAGAGCTTTCCCCTAATCATCTTCAAGCATTAATCTGATCTCTCAGTTGAAGGAGCACATCACTCCACTGCTTCTGGTTTTCCTTTTACTTCAGATACTTCCAAAATCTGAAGTAGCCTGTAAAGTTCAGTTTTCCTATCTTCTGAATAGAGAGGAAGGTCATTGGGTAGCAGCGCACAGAACTTTTTTGATTATGTATGAAAATCTCATGGGCAAACTTCTCTGATAGACAGACATATTGAACCACCTTTTAAATAATGCAGAAGTAGCCAACTGAATTGGTTTTCTATATAGAGCATTTTAATCTCATTTGTTTCAAAGACACAAATCCCAGTTTTAGTAATTTCTCTGTGACATTACTACATTATCATTTTGCTCTGAACTGAATACATTTCAGAGATACACCACAGTTTCTCAGCAAAACAAAACCCCTACATCTTACCTTGGTTAGCCTCTGAATATTCTTTTTGTAGAGAGATGACAAGCATTGCTTAACCAGCCCCATATTGTTATCCCTTGTAAATGTTTCACTGTGTTTGTTCACCAGATTTCGAAGCTCCGAGGGTTTATTGGTTGAATAAACTTGCGCTAATTCATGGTAAGCGTTGCTAAGGGGCTGCAATTAGAAAAATGAGAACCCTTCTTAAAGAACACGATGTTCAACCAGCCTCACAAAACCAATTCACTACTTCAACATTAGAAGCCACGCAGGCATAAAAGTAAATTTAAGAAGCTCAAGCATCTCATAAAAAATACATGATGCCCATACATGGTTTTACAGCAATGACAGATCCTTGTACACTCAATTCATATTACTGCAATGTAAAATTTAATAAACATCATTCAAGGATGTCTGTATGACAGTTCTAGCTACGGGAGAACACGAAAAAGTCCATTAGCTGACCAGCATATGAAGTAAGCCGAATTCAAGGTAAGTAGCACATTGACTAGTCACTGCCCATCTGTTCTATTTGTTCAACCCTCTAAGACACTTGACACTACCTCTCTTACTTGACCACAATGCATCACAGCACAGACAACAGAGAATCAGAGGGTGAAAACTAGTTCACCTAAATTACTTTAAAATGGCAATTGTTTGAGCTTGCTTATTAGTACCTGAAATTAGAAGAAGATTTCTGGAAATCTTTAAAATTCAGGTCACAAATCAACAAACTCTGTGTTAAATAAGAATTAACCAACCTATAAAAGTGTGTTATCTACCTAGGATCAGAACTCTCTCGCTAGCAGTTTTGTCCTCCACCCTACATGTCCTAATCAGAATGCTTACAGACTCCAAACTTGCAGCTTTTTCAAAACCTTTTATTCTTTATAAAGCTGGAGTTTTGGGATAAACTATTTAGCATTTTGTTACTTCAACTAGATGAAGTTACAGGTTGAGTGTTTTTACAAGGACACTGCATATTGAAAGACAAGTGAAATCTGAGTCTTGAGTTCTAGTGTAAAACGCTCTCAAGGGATGTGCAGCATCAGTGAAGCGAATATTGGTAAGTTCTATTCAACCCTGAAGTTTTTCCAAATTTAAGTTTAAAAACCTGTATCACCAATAAGAACAATACAGTTTGTTTGTAATAGACATAGAAGTTGCCAGACACTCTTTAGCTGTTGTACACCAGAAAGGCAGCAAGAGCTGCACACTCTGGCACATTGCATATTATTTCCCCTGATCTGCAATGTTAAACAGTACCATCAAATAAGGGTAAGGAAAAAGAAATAATCTTGCCAACACTGTTTATAAATTCAGATTTGTCATTCTATTATTTAGCTGTATTTGCAAGACTTACCTTAATGAATCTACCAACTATCTGGGAAGTGTATTTTGGTAGCTGCTGAACTTTGCCAAGTAGTATCAAAGAAACTAGAATATACTTTTTATATGATTCCAACATAATATGACTGACTGCCATGGCTGGAGTAGTTATTGCCTAAGCAAGAAAGAAAGAAACGGAATAGAAATTTAGTATACTTCTTGGTAGATCCTGGTAGCTACTGCATTAACAAAAAATCTCATTTTAAGGCTGCAGCAGAAAGGATACAATGACACATGAAATACACCTTTGAGCATTAAAGCTTAACTAACTTCCAAAAGTGTCCTAAAAAAGAAAATTCTGTACAAGCTACTCAAAACATATCATGTTACAGTAATGCCTACCTTAAAATAACCCTGTTAAGATCAAATGAAAACTTCTTTCCTTGGTATATATCTAAAGTTATTCCAGACATCACCTGTAGCTACTTGTTACCAGGAATGATTATATAGTTCCTGTAGAACCTGGATTTACACAGATCCTTAAAGAGGTTTTACAAAGCTATTCCCTCATCAGAGCCTGTATTTCAGTACGCTGAAAGAGGTCTGCAGAATAGGGAAAAGGGATTTTAGTTTACTATGACACTGCTTAGCTACTCAAGAGCTCACCTTTGTTTACAGATGAGAAGAATTGCTGGAACAGTTTATTTTGCACATTTGACAGCATTTCCATCTCATACACACACACACACAGAGTTTTCCCAATTTTGCGATTTTATCTTCTTTCACAGAGAAAGTAAAAGCAGCAAATAGACTTGAGTCTAACTCCCCTAATAAATTTAGCAAATGTCTTAGCAAAACCACTGGACTATTTTTTCTTTAAGAATACACAATTCTGAACATCAGCCTGTGAACTGTTACTATGCTAGCAGCAATAAGCAGGCATCTGAAAAATATTTATAGTGAGATAAATTTAACAGCAACCTTTGAGTTGCATAGTTTTATGGTGCAATAGTTACTTGGCTGTAAGAGACCTTCTTAAAGGAAAACATCTCTAAAGACAGTTTGCTTGTTACTTCACTTTATACACTACTTTATACACTAAAAAGTACCACTCAGGCTGTACCTTTCACAAGGGAGCTAATAATGAACACTAAGCCAAATCAGGTTTTATGTATTACTACGATGAACACATGTGCTAAACCAAAACCTATGTGAATGATGAACTGCAGTATAGATCTGTTAGTAGAATTATATCCTTAAGGTTAAGAATGAAAATAATTGGAGGCTGTTTGTACTTTATGTTAGGTTCACAGCTTTTATTGCTGTCCTTGGTGGCAAGTCAAAGATGATATGTTCTCTCAGCACTATTACGCATGCTACTTTGGCCTTTCAATTAATCACACTTTAGACATACCATTTTATTTAAAGTTACCTGTTCATAAAAGTAGAGTGCTCTTTCAAAGTTCTTTAGCCCAGTGTATATCATCCCACCATAGTAGTAGTAACATAAAAAGTGCTTCGCATCATATGCCCCATTCTCTTTACAAATATCCATCATGTCCACATCTAGATACGGGAGGGCAGGTTTAAAGCATTTTGCTAACAAACAGAGCTACAAGAAAATAAATCAGGTTTTCATAAATTAGCCATTTCCATTCAAATTTCCATGAGGAAAAAGTTGAAACTAAATTCATCTAGTACTATTTAATAAATCTCACTCCTCCAAGAGTGAAGAAACAGTGCACGTCAGTAGTGCTGTAACACAGATTATTCATTGTATCATGATATTTGGAAAACCCTTAACACAGACTGTGAACTGTTATAAATTATCTGAATCCTAAAGGAATTTGACTCTGACAAAGCTGCTTGAAACTCCAGGCTTTCCAGACTACCATGCTGGCAGCACTAAATATTGCACTAAACATTCCTGTCCAACCCTAAATCCCAGGAGCCAAGAATGAGACAGAAGTGCAAATCCAGGCCAAAGACACTAAGACAAACATGCCTTTTGTCAAACCTGAGCAAACAGTATCTGGATATTACACTTATACCACCTATGACAAGCTGTGTGTGACTTTCAGCCCAGAGAGAAGGGATGTTAAAGGACTTTCAGAAGTCATCAACAAAACCAAAGATCTGCGAACATGCAGATTGAACATTTAAAATTAACAGAAGGGGATTTTATTTCAGTATGTCATACTATTTATTAGGGGTGGGCAGGGGCGGCGGAACGGGGACGACACCAAAACAAAAACAATAAACCAAACAGTTAAAAGCCATTTTTACATTGCAATATGCAAACACGTATTTCCTCAAAAGGTTATAGGTATTTTATAAGCTTTTACTCTCGTAAAAAGCCCTAATGCTCCCCCCTTACCTGGCAGAGGTCTGCATGTATTGAGGTCAGCTGGTTTGTGTTCATCTGCATCTTGTCTATGGCTTGTCTGAGAATGCTAATTCCTCGCAGGGGCTGTCAGAAATTACATCTCTTTCAGATAATTTCTCATAGATGGCAGCACATTGGATCTTATGTTGACACTTACAAATGAAAAATAACACTAATTGACAGGTTCCTTTAAGTAATAATGAACTTGAGGTTCCCTTTTTGTAGGATACTGCAGTCTCTCAGAAAATAAAACTAACCTTGGCTATACAATTCCTCCTGATAAACTAAATAAAGTCATAAATTCTGCTCCACAAAGCCAACCTCATCAGGTATACAGTAATTTGTATCGATAAGAAAACCATTCTGGACTCCATGACACCATCTAAATTCCCACCAAATAACAAAGGCAAGTCTCTTGCTTTATTGCACTTAGACCAGACTTGACCTCTACTTCCATTTCAGGCTAGATTTTACTAAAATGACCTGAAAAAGTGAGTATCCTAGCAACAAAAACATCAGGCAAATATTTCCTAAACAAGCTTCCTTTACGTTTTAAGGCATTTCATTAAGAACATTATATAAGATTGGTGAGAATAACACTGAAACTAGTATCACTGACTCACCAGCGCTAATAATTTTTGCAGCGCTCTCCTACTCATGCACACAAGGTACTTGGTACTACAGATTTCCTAGTTTGTGTAAAAGAGTACATTTTTAGGTAACACTCTGCCAAAAAAAAAAAATCTTCCTTACATTTTCCTTAAAGAAATCTTAAAACCTTGGTTCAGGTTCATTACCTCTCAGTAAACTTAACAAGTAAGGAGCCGCACAAAAGTACTTAAAGTGAAGTTAGTGGCAAATTTTTATGAAGGAGTAAGAGACTGCTAACATCCCCTTTAAGAGCTTGGATATGTAGGTAGCTTATTTATCTTAGATGATACTTGCTCACCTGTTTTCTCTCCACAAGGGCATTTGTTAACTGGTGGCACAGGCCAGCAACTAAATACAGTAAAAAATAAAACAAAAAAAAACCCAGTGAAAAAAAAACAATCAGTAAAACCAAACTATCCAAAAAATATATAAAGACTCAAAGTAAGCTTAACTTACAAGTGTCTGTTGCATATCTAATGTGTTCCCCATTACAAGTGCTGATAAAAAGTTGCACCTGTGAGAACAGCGTTTCAAAGTCAGGGATGCTGGGCATAGAAAACTTCACAAACCTAAAACACAAAGAAAAAACAATTAGCACTTCACATTTGAAGATTAATAAAAAAGCTTCATCTTCATCACTAAGTTTCTGCAGATGCACATAGATGCTTGCAAACAAATCCAGAGTGTTTACAACAGGTGGCATTTAATTTCCCCAGGAGCTGCAAAACATTTGAAAATATGCTTTCTGCACACACCTCCATTCTCAATCTAGTGCAAACTACAATTTAGAACTATGGTGAACAAAGATCATTTTATGTGGTACAATAGTTACAGTAGTAATAGAAACCCTGTCTAACAATGATGAACTGTAATACTCAGCCACACGTCTTCTCTGGACACTTTTGCCTAGCCTACAGCCATCTCCTGCTTGAATGTACTCAAGATTTCTCAAGTATTAAATTATTAGAGGTGTATCTCTTGTCAGGAGCTCTTTCTCTTCACCTCCAGTTTCTCTGCATCTCTGGTGGTTCCTTAGCACCCTATAGGCTGTAGCTTTGCACACTGCTGCTTCTGTAAGATGAACTATGACTATGCTCATCTGAGGGCAATGAGAACTCTAGCTCTGCATCCTACAAATGGCAGAAAAACATACAGAAAAACTCTGTTTAATGCTGTTGGAAGGTACCCAACCCTGCCCATACCTCAGTTGCTATGCACTGTAATATGCAGTTCAAATCTACCTAGATGATGTATTATCTCTCTGTATTACATTCAGTTTGTTTCAAAAGGGTAGTAGAACAAGTACTAGAATTCTGACCTTTCCTTTAAAAGGGAACTTTAAAATAATAGTAGAACCTGTAGACGCTTCACTTGCAGTTACATACAGCTAGAAACAATAGCTTGAGCTTCAGGGCCAAATATCCTTACCTTACCTCAGCATCACCAAGGCAACTGAAGTATCTTAAACTGCAGACAGCAGCAAGGGCCTCAGTACTGTCTAGAGACAAATACCCACGAACTATGATAAGAAGCCATGCTTCACTGGAAAAAAAAAAGTGCATGGCTTCGTGCTTACAGTTCAGCACACTAATGCCCTGCCAATCAAGTTTTAAAAGTTAGTTTTATACCTTTTTGCTGAACACGTACGGAAAAATACTTAAAGGCATAAACAAGAGAAATAGATACAGCCTTAAGAAAAAGACACTCCCAATACTACCATTTGACAGCAATGGCATTAACAAGCTCCAGAGGTTTTTTTTCTTTTTGAAAATACAAATTTGCCTTGGTATTTTTATTACCAAAACGAGCATCACCAAAGGAAACTAAGCACCATTCTGAGAAATGCAGATTGAAAACATTTATGTCCAAAAGAAAAACATTTGCTTGACAATTCAGCATGTTGCCTGAAGCTTTAATACCAAAATATTTATTCAAAAGAAAGCAACACTTACAAGACAGCAAGAACGCCTAATGAGTGTTCCTGCACATCCAGGGCACCAAGCACTGTATCCAGATGGGAAAGATTTTTTGCTAGCAGTTCTCCGCTTTTATTGATCAGTTCACAAAGCTGGGTCATTTGCCCTGAAATACAAAACATTGCTGTCAAACTCTAAATAGAGAACATTCATGCGTTCCCATACTTCATTACACGCTTCCTTGTATAACCTGAGGAAAAAGGTAGGAAGAAAAAAAAAACCAGAGAAAAAAGTAGTATCACCCAGATAATTTATTTTTCTTTAATACAATAGGCATCAGTTTTACACAAGTGAGGTACCCGCCATATGTTTTTTTTATAAGGTGATAGCTAAGCTTCTGGCCTTTGGGATTGCAAAGGAAACCCTTATAACACAAACACAACGTGAAAAGCAGCATCAGCTCACCTTGTTAGAGAGTGGGGAGGCTTCAGGGTCTTGTATCAACACCAAGCTCGCTCTAAGCGAAGTCTACTGTGATGCAAAATTTTACCTCAAGTGGGTAAGTTTATCTACACTTGTGCCTTCTAGGTGTTATAAGGCAAAACACAAAACCAAAACAGTACCAAAAATAGTTTCCTCCACTTTCTAAAAAAATGCCAATACCAGAGTCTGTTCCTTGCTGCTTCTCAAGTGCCCTGCTCATAAGCATTTTTTTTGAAGTAGACATTAAAATCACAACTAAGTACCAACAACAAAAGGATTTAAAAATCTGTTCTTAAATTTGCTTTGTATAATTAAAACTACAATGTTATTCTATTTGTTGTAAGCTACGAACACAGCATGAAAGGCACCTATTTTGAATTAGGAAGGTACGGTAAGCCCAAAAAACCTTACAAAGAAAGCAGACCTATTATCATGAACTGCTTTCAAGTCTTCTCCCTGCAACTTACTTGAATTAAAAACTACACCTTTCTGAAGCAGAGTATTGTTTCTATGTTCAATCCTTGCAGATTAGAGAGAAAAAAAGAGGTTGTTTCACCTTTACAAAAATCTTAATAAAATGAGGAATAGTGACTCCATTCATCAACACTATTCTCAACTCTCTGGCCTTTTCCTTTGAAAATGAAAACCTGGGAAACCCTAGCAATGAAACGTTAACTTTGAAGTAACAGCTGAATCAAAAGTTCCAAATGGTGAACCAGAGCCCAGGAACTCCAGAAATCTGTCCCCAAAAGAGCTCTCTCCATAAGGAATTAAAACTCAAGGCATAAGCATGGAAAGGAATAGGGCTTGTAAAGCTCTCTGTGGTTTGGTAACAGTATTCAAGCATTACAAATCCTTAGTTCTGGTGTCCTCCCTAGCAGAGAAATCTACCCACTCTACAGCTGTCATCTAGCATTCCCCTAAAAAACAAAGTAAAAACCCCCAAAACAACCCTCTACCCACAAACACACACTGAACAACTTACAGTGTAAGTAGAAATACCCACACCAAGCCCAACTAAATGTCCATTTATGTCACCTCCCATGCAGCCAAATGCCAATAACAAGAAACCAACACCACCACAAGTACGTGTACTCTCATAACCTCCGGCAGCCTGGATTTATTTCCTCACAGAGAACAGCTTATCCCTAATGGGAGAATTTCCATGAAGTCATAGAATCATAAAATAGTTTGGGTTGGAAGAGACCTTTTAGGGTCAGAGCCCCATCCAACCTGACCTGGAATGTTTCCAGGGATGGGGCATCTACCACCTCTCTGGGCAACCTCTGCCAGTGTTTCACCACCCTTGTGGTGAAAAATTTCTTCCTTATATCTAGTCTAAATCTACCCTCTTTTAGTTTAAAACCATTACCCCTTGTCCTGTTGCTACAGGTCCTGCTAAAAAGTCTGTCCCCATCTTTCTTATAAGCTCCCTTCAAGTACTGGAAGGCTGCAGTAAGGTCTCCCCAGAGCCTTCTCTTCTCTAGGCTGAACAACCCCAACTCTCTCAGCCCGTCCTCATAGGAGAGTCAACCAGTCTTCCCTTGGACCTTGTAACAAACAAGTTCTCCAGCTAAGCTACATGCATGTAAAGAATCGCCTTTCATCTGGTTTGTACTTGCACCCTGCAGGTATAATTTGAGTCTTGCATCTGATATCCCCAGTAAAAATACTATACATTTAGTAAGTTAAACCAAAGTAAGAGAAAGTTTCAGCTCCACTCAAAAGTAACTGCAGAGATAAAGCTTGGGGCCATAGAGGAAAGCATCAACTTTTAATCAGTTCCAGGGAACAAACATCCCATGCAGAGAAACACTGAGAGCACATTTTAGGGAGCATCAACACAGATAGAAAGTTCAAGAACTAGGAAACGCTGTGCCCACACATAGAAAAATTAGGAATCTGGCAATGAAACTAAGGAATGCTAACTATGGTTATTAGAACACTTTCTGAAGGCTTGGTTAGGGCAATTCCGACATACAGTCTCAGGTCTCCTATCACATGCTTCTGTGGTAAGGGAGAGCTCTTCTGTCCAGGCTCTACTTTGTCCCCAGAAGCTAACACTTCTGAAGTGTATTTTAAAACACACATGCCACAACTTGCATGCTCACCACTCAGGTGACAGGCTAGGCTATATAATCCTAGTTAAAGTCCCAGTGATGCCCCGTCCTCGCCCCTGATTTTCAAGGCTCAGATT